CAAGGCTGCTACGCTACCTACGCACCCTCTCTGCTGTCAAGCCCCCTGTGGCGTCGAGGAAATGCCACGCCTTCCACGCCCCGGGAGCCTGCAACGCACAGGGCCCCCACCCCCAGCGCACCCCCTGTGGCGTCGAGGAAATGCCACGCCTGCCACGCCCTGGGAGCCTGCAACGCACCCCTCCAGTGTCGAGGAAACGCCACTCCTGCTAGGCCCTGCGACATTGGCGCGTATAGAGACCGCGGTGGGCCCCCACCCCCAGCGCACCCCCTGTGGCGTCGAGGAAACGCCACTCCTGCTAGGCCCTGCGACATTGGCGCGTATAGAGACCGCGGTGGGCCCCCACCCCCAGCGCACCCCCCGTGGCGTCGAGGAAACGCCACTCCTGCTAGTCCCTGCGACATTGGCGCGTATAGAAACCGCGGTGGGCCCCCACCCGCAGCTTTGCGTCGACCACTCCTGCTAGACCCTGCGACATGGCGCGTCTAGAGACCGCGGTGGGCCCCCACCCCCGCGCAGGCGTCGAGGCCACGCCTGCTAGGCCCTGCGACATTGGCGCCGCGGTGGCCCCCACCCCCAGCGCACCCCCTGTGGCGTCGAGGAAATGCCACTCCTGCTAGGCCCTGCGACATTGGCGCGTATAGAGACCGCGGTGGGCCCCCACCCCCAGCGCACCCCCTGTGGCGTCGAGGAAGTGCCACGCCTGCTAGGCCCTGCGACATTGGCGCGTATAGAGACCGCGGTGGGCCCCCACCCCCAGCGCACCCCCTGTGGCGTCGAGGAATGCCACTCCTGCTAGGCCCTGCGACATTGGCGCGTATAGAGACCGCGGTGGGCCCCCACCCCCAGCGCACCCCCTGTGGCGTCGAGGAAGGAAATGCCACGCCTGCTAGGCCCTGCGACATTGGCGCGTATAGAGACCGCGGTGGGACCCCATCCCCAGCGCACCCCCTGTGGCGTCGAGGAGGTGCCACGCCTGCTAGACCCTGCGACATTGGCGCGTATAGAGACCGCGGTGGGCCCCCACCCCCAGCGCACCCCCTGCGGCGTCGAGGAAATGCCACGCCTTCCACGCTTTGCGAGACCGAAACGCACAGGGCCCCCACCCACAGCGCACCCCTTGTGGCGTCGAGGAAATGCCACGCCTGCCGCGCTTTGCGAGACCGAAACGCATAGTGCCCCCACCCCCAGCGCACCCCCTGTGGCGTCGAGGAAATGCCACGCCTGCTACGCTTTGCGAGCCCGAAACGGATAGGGGGACCACCCCCTGCGCACCCCCTCTGGTGTCGAGGAAGTGCCACGCCTGCCACACTTTGCGAGACCGAACGCTGTGCTGTGTGCTGTGTGTGTGCTGGCGTGTTTGTGTGTATGTGTGTATGTGTGTATGTGTATGTGTGCGCTGTGCCGTGCTGTGTTGTGCTGTGCTGTGGGTGAGGGAGGAAGGAGGAGAAGGGGGAGGAGGGGAGGAGGGAGGAAGACGCGGGTGCGACGCGGGAGGGAAGAAAACCAGAACCCCACCAAGCATGTGGGGAAAAACCTGCGGCAGACGGGGAACGGTTCGCAACGCCAGGCGAGAGCGAGGATGAATGAGAGGAACGATGTGGAACGATAAAACGTTGCTTCCCATTGCCTTGCATTGCGCGACTGGGCAGCTTGGGCCACGAGCGAGCCCGCGTAGTGGCCACGCGAAGGACCTCGAACGCCATTCCTTTGCGTGGTCGCGCGTCTCCCAGAAGGCGTTTCTACGGAATACACCAGACCGATCCGAATCCTGGGTTTGCTGGAAGATTCCCCAGAAATCAGTGGCGAGCCAGGGCTTCGGTGCATGTCCAAAGCCAAGGCGGCACTGGCTGCGTGGTAGAGCGGTACGCTGTCCAGCATGCATTCGCACGATCGACGCGCAGGCTGTTACGACACCTGCCGCCGCAGGATCCAACGAAGAAGTCGCGCGAGCTTGAGCCTCCGGGTGGTGTTCTCGTCGCGACGTCATCGGGCCCGCCTCGAAAGTCGAATCGAAACGCACACCAAGAAAAGGCGGGCAGCGCACAAACCTGTAAATCGATTGCGAAAGCAAAAAAAAAAAACGGGCAGGGGGACTTGAAAGGAAACAGCACAATTTCAAAGGCAAAAAAATGACGCCAATTACCAACAGATGCGAAGTTTGAAAGACCCAGGTGCGTGGCGCAAAGCGCCAACGAAACCGTGTCTATGTATGTTATGCGTACGTGTGTACACATGAATGGCACGTGCGTGCCCTGGCTCGTACGAAAAGCAATTGGGGCAGCCGATGGGGTTCCCACAGCTTGTGACTAGACGAAACGTTGAGAGGTACCCCTGCGGGCACACGTTGGAGAAGGGTTGGGGAATTATATACACTGGGAACCAAAGAAAAGCCGATACTCCATGAGTTACGTCCAGAATCATTGACGTACGTTGTGTGCTTAAGCTCTTCTTGCACAATGGTGACTAACTACAGAGGACACGATTGAAATACAACGGCGCGCTGACGCGTATGCGCAAAACCTTTGACATCCATTGTTTGCTTCAAGGTTGAATGGCTTTCTGTTTCGCAAAAATGCACGAGGCGTGCGTCCGATGCTGAGCTCTACTCCGTCGGAGGGGCCGCTCACTTCGGCACACCCGTCACACGCTTCGTGACCCCAGAAGGAACTCCACCGAAGGCCCCAAGGTGGCGCCGCCCGCATGCGTCCCAGCCGCTCATTCCGGCACACCCCTCACACGCGTCGTGCCCCCATAGGCCCGAATGGCGCCGCCTGCATGCGTCCCAGCCGCTCATTGCTGAACACACCTCACACGCTTCGTGGCCCCGTAGAGAGCCCCACCGAAGGCCCAACTGGCGCCCTCCGCATGCGTCCCAGCGGCTCATGTCGGCACAGCCCTCACACGCTTCGTGGCCCCGTAGGGAGCCCCAACGAAGGCCCCACTGGCGCCCTCCGCATGCGTCCCAGCGGGTCATGTCGGCACACCCCTCACACGCTTCGTGGCCCCAGAGGGAACTCCACCGAAGGCCCCAATGGCGCCGCCCGCATGCATCCCAGCCGCTCATGTCGGCGCACCCCTCACCGAAGGCCCAGTGGCGCCGCCCGCAAGCGCCCCAGCCGATGATTTCGGGACACCCCTCGCACGCTTCGTGGCTTCATGGGGAGCTCCACCGAAGGCCCCAATGGCGCCGCCCGCATGCGTCCCAGCCGCTCATTGCTGAACACACCTCACACGCTTCGTGGCCGCGTAGGGAGCCCCACCGAAGGCCCCAGTGGCGCCGCCCGCATGCGTCCCCAGCACTATGTCAGCACACCCCTCACACGTGTCGCGGCCCCATCAGGAGCTCCACCGAAGGCCCCAAAGGCGCCGCCCGCATGCGTCCCAGCCGCTAATTTCGGCACACCCCTCAGTTCCACCGAAGGCCCCACTGGCGCCGCCCGCATGCGTCCCAGCCGCTCATTGCTGAACACACCTCACACGCTTCGTGGCCCCGTAAGGAGCCCCACCGAAGGCCTCAATGGCGCCGCCCGCGTGCGTCCCAGGCACTCATGTCAGCACACCCCTTTCACGTTTCCCGACCCCATAGGGAGCTCCACCGAAGGCCCCACTGGCGCCGCCCGCATGCGTCCCAGCCGCCCATGCCAGCACACCTCTCACACGCTCCGTGGTCCCATAGGGATTTCCAATGAAAGTCTCAGTGGCACGACCTGCGCACGTCGCCGGGACTCCTTCGGGGCGACCGGCGCGCGCTGGGGGGACTCCGTGCTGCGCTCCGCATAGCGCCTCGCTCGCCCGGCGACGCTCTGCCCAACGGCCGGCGCCTGGCCCGCTGTCGGCCATGCAGCTAGCTTTCTTTGCTCCGCGCAGCGGACGACCCGCGCGCGTCGCCCGGATCCTTGCGGGGGCAACTGGCGCGCGTCGCGGGAACTGCGTGTTGCGCTCTGCCCAGAGCCGCAGCCACCAGGGCGCGAGTACACAGAGAGGGAAGCATCCGAGAGCCCAGCATCCCGGTCCGCTCCTGCCCCCCCCCTCCCCCCCGTCACGCCCCTGCCCGCACTGCCCCGCGCCTCGTTCTTCCTGCGGCGCGCTGCCTATAAGAGCTTCTCGGAGTTTGCGCGCCCCTCTCCCTCGTATCATCTCCTTCGCGGCACCTGCAGCTGCAGATGGTTGGGTCCTTCGTCATGCTGATGTGCTGCCCCCGCGGGCCGCGCTCTGCGCGCCCGTCCACATTGGAATTCGGGGGCAGGGGAGTTGGATGAAAACTTGTATTTGATTTCGAGGAAGGCTGCAGCGACGTCGCATGTCGGCGACGTCGGAGCTCGGGGAGTGCCACGGCAAGCCCGCGGATGCACCGCCGATGGCCCTTGACCCCGCCTGGGATCGCGACCGGCACTCGCTGCCGCGACACCGTCGCAGGGGGGCGGAATGCACGAAGGACATGCTGGCACTCTGCCGGTTGGTTGTTCGGCTCGGTCCCGAGGTTTAGAACAGCTGCAGGGCTCGATTCACACCGTTGCGCGCGCAACGTCAACCAGCACCAGTTTGCAACAACAAGGGCACCGAGATCGGCGCGTTGGCATCGCTTCTGTTCTAAAAACGAATTCCTTACTGCGAACTGATGCGTTGTGTTGTGAACTCGCAATCACATGCAATCGCAAACAGCACGGGACTCTGCAACTACTACGTGCTTCTGTTGAAGACGCGCGTTCGATCCGAACATGGAGAAATCAAAAGGTACCGATAAAGCTACTCCCGGACCTCTCCCGGGGTGCATTCTGACCAGAACTTCGAAGCGCATCCAACGGTGGCGACGAGGGCCTCCCAGGGGGGCGAATGAAGGGAAAACGGACGAAGGGTAGCAGTATGGGGGTACTTGTTCGCCCTCCGAGAAGATGCACCATAGCAACCCCACAGCACATCGCTGCTCCAGCGGCACGGCCAGAACCTCCACCCGCAGGGCTGGGGCGCCCCCCGCTGAAGCCCGCTGGGCCGCGGGCACGCAGGGGTCGGCCAGGGCGCCGAAGAGCTCGCCTCGGGGGTCGGAGGCGGCCGCGGGGTGCTGCCCTCCCTGAGCATCGCTTCACCGATCCCTACAGGCCTCGGAAATTACGCTACCGAGGAACCCCACATACTTATATGATGGCTGGAGAGATGAGAGCTGAAGTGAAGCATGTGAGAATGATGTTGGTGGCCGTTGCCCCGCCGATACCGCTGTGCCCTGGACGACCGTCACGGATAGCGGCCGCGGTGAGAGACCACCCCCTGCGCACCCCCTTTACGGTGTCGACAATATGCCATGCCTGCTGTGCCCTGGACGACCGTCACGGATAGCGGCCGCGGTGAGAGACCACCCCCTGCGCACCCCCTTATGGTGTCGAGAATATGCCATGCCTGCTGTGCCCTGGACGACCGTCACGGATAGCGGCCGCGGTGAGAGACCACCCCCTGCGCACCCCCTATGGTGTCGAGAATATGCCATGCCTGCTGTGCCCTGGACGGTCACGGATAGCGGCCGCGGTGAGAGACCACCCCCTGCGCACCCCCTATGGTGTCGAGAATATGCCATGCCTGCTGTGCCCTGGACGACCGGCACGGATAGCGGCCGCGGTGAGAGACCACCCCTTGCGCTCCCACCTGCCACTGTAGCACCACCCCCTGCGCACGGTGTCGAGAATATGCCACGCCTGCTGTGCCCTGGACGACCGTCACGGATAGCGGCCGCGGTGAGAGACCACCCCTTGCGCACCCCCTATGGTGTCGAGAATATGCCATGCCTGCTGTGCCCTGGACGACCGTCACGGATAGCGGCCGCGGTGAGAGACCACCCCTGCGCACCCCCTATGGTGTCGAGAATATGCCATGCCTGCTGTGCCCTGGACGACCGTCACGGATAGCGGCCGCGGTGAGAGACCACCCCCTGCGCACCCCCTATGGTGTCGAGAATATGCCATGCCTGCTGTGCCCTGGACGACTTGATGACGGACCCGCCTGCACGGACGGATAGCGGCCGCGGTGAGAGACCACCCCCTGCGCACCCCCTTATGGTGTCGAGAATATGCCATGCCTGCTGTGCCCTGGACGACCGTCACGGATAGCGGCCGCGGTGAGAGACCACCCCTTGCGCACCCCCTACGCTGTCGAGAATATGCCATGCCTGCTGTGCCCTGGACGACTGTCACGGATAGCGGCCGCGGTGAGAGACCACCCCCTGCGCACCCCCTATGGTGTCGAGAATATGCCATGCCTGCTGTGCCCTGGACGACCGTCACGGATAGCGGCCGCGGTGAGAGACCACCCCTTGCGCACCCCCTACGCTGTCGAGAATATGCCATGCCTGCTGTGCCCTGGACGACCGTCACGGATAGCGGCCGCGGTGAGAGACCACCCCCTGCGCACCCCCTATGGTGTCGAGAATATGCCATGCCTGCTGTGCCTGGGCGACCGTCACGGATAGCGGCCGCGGTGAGAGACCACCCCCTGCGCACCCCCTATGGTGTCGAGAATATGCCATGCCTGCTGTGCCCTGGACGACCGTCACGGATAGCGGCCGCGGTGATAGACCACCCCTTGCGCACCCCTATGGTGTCGAGAATATGCCATGCCTGCTGTGCCCTGGACGACCGTCACGGATAGCGGCCGCGGTGAGAGACCAGCCCCTACGCACCCCCTTACGCTGCTGTGCATGTGCTGTGCTGTGCTGTGCTGTGTTGTGCTGTGCTGTGCTGTGCTGTGCTGTGCTGTGCTGTGCTGCGCTGTGTAAGAAGGAGAGAGAGAGGGGAGGAGGAGACGCGGGTGCGCCGCGGCAGGGAAGAAAACCAGAACCCCACGAAACATGTGGGGAAAAAAACGAACACTCATGCCACATTCATCTGTCCGCGCCTCCCCCATCGCCCCAATGTTCAAAGTTGGCGGTGGGTCTGATGAGTTGCACCTCCACCGCAGTCTCCCCCGCACGTGCCAACTTCGAGCTTGGGAGGCAGGGGGGTGTTCACTAATTGTTTCCCTCTACCGTATCCCCGCCGGCGCGGCCTGGGCCCCACTGGCCGATTTACCCCCCTGGATGGTCGGATAGAGGTCGTTTCCTTCGGTCTTCAAGGGGGATAAGCATCCCCAAACGAGGGGGCGGGATGGTTGGGGTCTGGGTGGGGACGAGGATGGGGATAGGGGTCGGTCAAACGGTACTGACGCCCAGACTTTTCCGTCGTGGCGCGGCAGGGGCAATCTGCTCGCGCTTGCCCTCCCAGACGCCCAGCGCCTCGAAAGAATCGAGACGAAGTTTGTTATAGCTTTCGGCCTCTCGGGGCCTTAACTGGGCCTCGGGACCGTCAAAAAATGACTCGGGATGAGAAACCGGTCGCAGGGAAGAGGTCGAGGAGTGCCCTGGATGGGCAGCATCAGTTCACGGCGCGCACGAGGTGGCAGGGGGAGAGGGGCAGGCTTCTGAAAGGGAGGCTGCTCCTTAGGAGGCGCCGGCCCTTCCATCTGTAGGCAAGGCCCGCGCCTTCTAAGAAGCGGGGGTGCTTCTGCGAAGCCCTCCACCCTCCCACTAACCCCCTCCGCGCGCGGCCGAAGCAAAACCAGCCAGGAAGGGAAAGGGGCAAGTCTGGTATCCGATGCCCGTCCAGAGGAGGCGGCCCAGAGGGGACAGAGAACGAAGCCTGTGTGCAGCGGTGCCTCTCCCGCTGGAACCAGTGATGCCCCATGACATCCTCACGTCGTTGCAAAAACTACGACGTTAGTAGTCTGGCAACTTTCGGCCTCGACTCTGGGGCCCCCAGCGGGCCCCGGCACCGTCAGAACACGAACCAGGATAAAGAGCCGGTCGCCAGGAGGAGGTCAAGACCTCTGAGGAGTCATCCCAGACCTCCAACGTATTAAAAGATCCGCCACCGTGCCTGCACGGAGTGGGCGTGTAAGAATACTCCAGTCGACCCAAAAGGGTCCAAAGACCACCCAAAGGGCTCCCAAGAGGGCCCCAAAACGGCCGTGAACCGACCCCAGAGGGCACCAACACGGCCTAGAGAGGCCCCCAAGGCGGCCTCCACAGGCGTCCGACGGGCCAAGAGTCCCCTAAGACGGCCCACGAGGCTCCAAGAGGACTCCAAGAGGCCCTGTGAGGCCCTCCCAAAAGGCCCCCAATAAGCTTCCACGAAGCTCCCAGGAGGCCCCCACAGCGCCCCAAGAAGGCCCCAGGATGTATCATCCTCCTTTTGTCCCTTTCCTCCTTCTCCTCCTCCTCCTCCTCCTCCTCCTCCTCCTCCTCCTCCTCCTCCTCCTCCTCCTGCTTCCTGCTCCTCTCCCCTCCTCCTCCTCCTCCTCCTGCTCCCCTCCTCCTCCTTCCTCCTCCTTCCTGGCTCCCCTCCTCCCTCCCCTCCTCCTCCTCCCTCTCTGCTCCTCCTCCTTCCTCCTCCTCCCTCCTCCTCCTCCTGCTCCTGCTCTACCTCCTCCTACTCCTCCTACCTCGCCGTCCTCCCTCCTCCTCGCTCCGCCTCCTCCGCCTCCTCCTCCTCCTCCTCCCTCCTCCTCCTCCTCCTCCTCCTCCTCCTCCTCCTCCTCCTGCTCCCTCCTCCTCGCCTCCTCCTCCTCCTCCTCCTCCTCCTCCTCCTCCTCCTCCTCCTCCTGCTCCCTTCCACGCGGACGAAGACGAGGTCGGATTCACGACCCATCCCAATGCACTGTTCCTACACTCAACCTAAGATTCAGCTGCGTCCCGTTCCCCCCGACAGGCTCCCGAGGAAGGCGAGGCGACGCATGCGCAGCGTAGGAGGCAGGAGGAGGATCGCCTCAGAGAGCCATGTCACGAGCGGGGAACGCATCCATATCCGCACTCCCGCGGTCTGGATCCAGGGCGCGATCCCGTGGAGATGCGGTCGCACGGAAACGTTCTGCGCGGCGCATCCGCGAAAAAACGTCCCGTACACGCGGGGTCGCGCCCCACGGGCTCGGCCCGCGAGGCCGTGGACACGGATGGGTTTTTTCCGCACGCGGTCGTGGAAGGGGCCCCGGCCTCCGAGATCGCGAGGCGGCTGCCAGACCTTGAGATCCGACGTCGAGAGAAACTACAACATCGTAAGACACCACGACGGCTGGAGCCCTATAGACTGTAGACCCCCTCTTGCTGACGCCCTTCTCGTGCCAGGTCGATCTGCAAAGGCCACCACAGACGGCGGCGGGGCCCGAAGTGCGGGCGAGCGCGCCTGATGTGGAAAATTATCCCAGTGCGACCCTACCTAGGAGTTGGAACCCCTAGGAAAGCAGCATTAGTAGTAACAGTAACGCTGAGCTAAAGCTAAGCTAAAGCTAAGCCACAGCTAAGCTAAAGTTAAGCTCAAGCTAAGCTAAAGCTAAGCTAAAGCTAAGCTAAAGCTGAGCAACAGCTAAGCTAAAGCTAAGCTACAGCTAAGCTAAAGCTAAGCTAAAGCTAAGCTAAAGCTAAGCTAAAGCTAAGCTAAAGCTAAGCTAAAGCTAAGCTAAAGCGCTAAGCTAAAGCTAAGCTAAAAAGCTAAGCTAAACGCTAAGCGAAAAGCTAAGCGAAACGCTAAGCTAAAGCTAAGCTACAGCTAAGCTAAAGCTAAGCTAAAGCTAAGCTAAAGCTAAAGCTAAAGCTAAAGCTCCCAGGGGACTGGGGGGAACCGCTCCCAGGGGACTGGGGGAACCGCCCGGGGCGTGTTCCACTGCCCGGCCCCTTTAAGCTAAGAGAGTAAGAACCCTTCTAGGCAGAGCCTAGGAAGGGAAAAATGCGGCGCCTGAGTCTCGAGGACCCCTTCGCGCCGTGAGAAAAACATCCAGGGCGGAGGCTTTTGCCAGTCTTCTGGCCCCCTTGGGGGGGGCCCAACAACGGGCCCCGGGGCAGTACGACATCGGGGGGCAGCACCGGTCCCAGGGAAAGATTCGAGACCTCCAGGTGTCCGCGTTGCGAAAACCAATAAAGCATGCTAGCCAGCGTAGACCCCAAACAGTGCGTTCTTGCACTTTAGAGGTAGAAATGCGGTACAAGCTATGATGTGAAAGCTATGTCGTGAAAGCTATGTGATGAAGGCTATGGACGAGAAAACTTTGTGGTG